GGTTTGAAGGGCTGTTGTACTGCGATGTGGAAAGCAAATGGAAAAACTACCACATTATCACTTTTCCTGGATAGTCTCTTTCCAAAAACAGAGATTCCATGTATGCGAGATGTTCCCTCTGGAGACAAAGGAAAGATAGAGGGGCGGATAGAAGTGACCAGAAGACGAGGAAGAAGACGTAAGAAGATGCTGGATGACCTTGAGGACAGAAGAGGATATTTTTATTTGAAGGAGAAAGCTTTAGAGTGCATTAAGGGGGGGAACTGTTTTGGAAGAAACTGTGGACCTGTTGTCCCTTGCGACATGGCGCAAGGGAGACCTCGTAAACAAATATTCAACCAGGGTCAATGTCGAACAAGAAACCTGGAAAGGAAGAACTGAAATAAAGAACACATGCGGCACACAGCCACTATGCCAGAAGAAAAAGGTGCCAACCAAGGACGCCATCGGAGGGTGTAGATCAGGAAAGCGATCGCACCTAGGAGGGATAATTTGTAAGAAGACCATCTACGAGATTGTCAGCATGAAGATCATGAAATGAATTGTCAGATCTTCTGTCGGATTACGACAGAACAAAAATTGGACTATGTGGAGGGGTCGACCCCCTCCAAAGCGGAAAAAGGAAAATGGCCCCCATGGGAGGAACTGAAGTACCGGCCCTCTGCAAGGGTGAAGTAAGACTGAATGAGTGAAGAATGAATGTGAGGCGACAGAATCGACAAATTCTCGGCTACGGGAGTGCTCGGGGCGAGCACCACTGAAGAGAGGGGCAGATGCGGTTGGATGAACAGTGCAGAAAGATACCAGCAGAACACCGCGGAAATGGAAGAGAGGAAGAATCTTTAGGCTGTTCGGGGACGAACAACCTTTAGAAGGGAGCAATGTCACATGTTTGGAATCCAGAAGAGTCACTTCTATGGAAACGCTAGAACAGATCGTTGCATAGGTAGCGACAATAGCAGTATTGTAGCCCCAACAGTTGGCTGTTGCGTAGGAATTGCAGTATCAACAAAGCGTATCCCTGGTGATAGACAAAAGAGGGTCGTTTGCATAGCAGCGGCTGAGGTTATAAAAAGGGGTTGAATGCATTCGCCAAGCCAGTCTCAGGATAGACGCTGAGAAATACAGAAGTCAGTCTTCAGGAAGCTGCCGCTGAAGATAGTTGAGATCTAGTTGCCATACAAGACGGTTGGAAGGTAGCCGCTGCGGAATACAATTAAGGTGATAATTGTACAGTGTATAAGTGTGAGTGTCCAATAAAGATTCGCTGAATCCGAGACCCATGTGAATTTATCTGTCGCGTGACATACCCAACACGAGACAACTTGACAGATTACTGACGAATGAAAGAACATGAAAGCAAATTATTGGCATATTATTTCGTTTAGAAATTCAAATTACCATTAAAATTAAAATTTAAAATTGAAGTTCTTCTGTTTACTTTTATTGTTGTGTAAAATAATGTATGCTGTATATTACAGGGCCTTGCTGGGAGTCAGCATATTCTTTTTAATTTCTTAGTGTATCTATAACATTGTGTGGTCACATTCTACATGGTGATACATTCAATTATTTTGTTGCAGTAGTTTGAGTGACTATGGTGAAAGAGTTTTCTTTTTGTACAGACAGAATTACACTGAGGAAATAACAGAAAGGTGGGACACTCACATATAACATACAACGTAACACACTTTTAAATATAGTGCATTCAATGATAGAGGAAACCTTGCAGCAGCATAGAGTGGACACAACATTTCTCGTAGATTGCTGCTGTAACTGCCAATAGGAGAATGAGCCATTTGTGCTGATAAATGCACGCCATCAGGTGCTCTGATCTTGTCACTGCAGTAAATCACATTAATAGCCAGTCTGTGTTAGAGGTGTCGATGGGTGATTGAAATAAAGTTCACTACTGAACAGCATGTGTTTATTGTCTAAACTTTTGCAAGGGGAAAAAAAAACTTACACAGAAAATGTAACTCTAAGTTTTATCGTAAATATCCTGATTTGCCAGTTCCCACAAAGTCATGTGTATCCAAACCTGTGAAAAAGTGGTAGGCCACAGGTTGTGTTTGACATAAAGAAGCAATAAAAGAGGATTGCGCAGACTGAAGAAGAGGTTCTGGATACTGAGGCACAACTACAGATCAGTCCTCAAAAATCATTAAGATGCTTAGCACAGGAAACCGTGTTTCACTAGGCTCTGCTTTCACAGCCACAAAATTAATCAAATTTCGCCAGTTGTGCATGAGCTGAAACAATCAGATTATGCAGCAAGAATTTGTTTCTGCAATTGGCTGCTGCAAAATGTGGACGATGGAATTGTGGATCCACAGCTTCTGTTCATGACTGATGAAGCGTGGTTTCATGTTAGTAGCAATGTCAATGCACAAAATGTAAGAATACAGATCTCAGTTTTTGCGATTTTTATCTTTGGGGAAACCTAAAGGGAAAAGTCCTCAAGAATAATCCTCGCAGCACTGAAGCTCTGCGGAATGAAATGACATGCATAATTGGTTCAATTATCGTGCAGCACCTTCAGTTGTTGCTTAATTTATTTATGCGATGCGAGGCATGTTTGAAAGCAGAAGGGGTCACTTTCAGCACCTGTTATAAAGCACGGTAAGTTTGTGTTATCTTTTTACAGCATTCTTATAAATGTGTGCATGTACAGAAACTGATGTGAGGGAATCAGCGACATGACTGCACTCTCCCTAGCGGGGAAGGGCATGGTAGTCGCAGAGAAACGTTCTAGCCGCTCTATACTGCTGTCAGGTTTCCTCTACAGCTGAACACTCTATAGTTCCACACAAAAACATGTAGCAATACTTCCAAACAATATACAAAAACTAATACAGTAGTACTGATTTGTTTCTTACAGAACTGTTGTGTTGACTGATACATTAAGCATACCATATACAGAGTGTTTCAAAAAGAGCTTTACAGCTTTGAAAGCTTATTTAAATTTATACAGAGGACATACACAACGTTTTGAACTGTCATAATGTAACAAAACACATCGAATTTCATGCACGTGGTAGTGTAGTACCCAATACCGCCACCGTGAGCGATCCCGCAGTTGAAATCAAGATGGCTACTTTCACAGGTGCAGAGCGTGCTCCTTGTGTGTTTCAGTTCGAAGAAACGAAGTCTGCTACACAAGTTCAAAGGAAATTTTTCACTCAGTATCACAAGGAACCTCACAGCAGGCATAGAATTTACTCCTGGCGCAGGAATTTTGTTCAGACCGGATGTTCTGTGCGCCATGCCAAGCCACCCGGTTGGCCAAGTGTTTCTGATGCTACAGTGGAACAGATTAGGGAGAGCTTCATTCGAAGTCTATGAAAGTCAACGCGATGTGCGTCTCGGGAAACTGGTATTCCAAATGTTACTGTGTGGCAAGTGTTACAAAAACGTTTATACTTAAAAGTGTACAAACTATCCATCGTTCAACACCTTACGGATGCAGATAAGGTGGTTCATAAGGAATTCTGTATGCAAATGTTTCATCGGATACAAGACGATGAGAAGTTTCTGGACTCCACAATTTTCAGTGATGTTTCATGTCAGTGGTAAGGTCAATAACCACAACTGCAGGATCTGGGGCAGTGAAAATCCACGTGTCTCCCTGGAACATGTTTGTGATAGCCCAAAGGTGAACATGTTTTGCGCCCTCAGCAAAAAAAGAGTATACGGCCCCTTCTTCATGGAGACAGCCATTACTGGTATCGTATATCTGGACGTGCTCCAAGTGTTCCTCATTCCACAGTTAGATGAAGATGACCAAGAAGGGTGCATTTGCTTCCAGCATGAAGGCGCACACCCTCATTACCTTGGAGAAGTGCACAAGTACTTCAAAACCCGTTTCCCAGGTCAGTGAATTGGTAGAGTGGCGCCGATAGCATAGCCACCTTGTTCCCCGGATCTTACTCCCCTGGATTTTTCTTATGGGGATTCGTTAAAGATCGAGTGTTCGTACCACCTTTGTCTGCAAATGTTGTTGAGCTCCAAACTCGAATTGACTACAGGTAGGACGTCTGCCGCATTACCAACGGAAGTCACATTGAACCATAACTATCCGAGGTAAAACTTGTTGTGTTTTGCTACATTATGACAGTTCAAAATGTTGTGTGTCCTCTGTATAAATTTATATAAGCTTTCAAAGTTGTAAAGCTCTTTTTGAAACACCCTGTATAATAAAAGTAAGTTGCATGAGGGTAAAAAGATGTGCAGTCTAATGTAAATTATTCAAGGCTATATAGTCTGGGATACTGACAGTGTTAAATAAAAACAAGAAACAATGTCAGGTTTCAAGAAACACTGATACCTGAAACATTATTTCTGTTGGATTAAGCATGATCTTCTGTAGAAGAACACATTATTATTATTATTATTCGGAGGGGGTGGGTTACCCCATGCACTGCGACCATTTATTGATCTATTGTGCATTCCACTTTTAATTATTCTAACTAGTCGCCATGCCCTTCCAGTACTGGTGCTTGCTATCAGCCCCTTTCTGCCAGCGAGGTCGGCCCTCTCCGGTAGTGGTCCCTGATACTTTCCCCATCTACCGGAGGAATTGGAAACTACTTGGGTGGGAAACTTGCCTAATTTTGCACTGATATGTTAGGTTTTTGGACTTTATCCATCGTCCTGGTTTTTAAGATAACAAATAAAAACACGACGTTTCGGAAACTGGATCTGTTTCCGTCCTCAGGTGAAGGAAAACCCTATTCAGTTGGGTCCGTTAGAAAGAGCTAGCCTCAATCACTGTTTTTATTTATCTTAAAAACCAGGACGATGGATAAAGTCCAAAAACCTAACATATCAGTGTGTTATACACCATCGTCAGAATCCTATAGTAACTACTTGCCTAATTTTGCTCAGAGGTCTCCTAGAGACATGAGGTAGAAGAACATGCTAATGTCTCTGCAGTCTGGGGCCATTACATAAAAGTGAAATCAACCTGGTGAGAGATGTACTAAAGTGCAAGAACTTACTGATTCAAACAAAGCTCCATTGAGGCCAATATTACCACTAGGCGTCAGGCCCAGTCCACCAACCAGACCAGCACACATATCAGATAAAATGTCTCCATACAGATTTGGCATGACTAGCACATCATACTGTGTTGGATCCTGTACCATATTAAGACACACTGTGTCCAAATATTTCTCTTCAAATTTCACATCAGGAAACTTCTCTGCTGCTTCCCGGCAACAATGAAGAAAAAGGCCATCAGACATTCTCCTGCAGATGACACAGACTGATTAGTGGTGGGCTGCATTCAGAAATGTTATAATTTGTAACATGACAAATTGCACGGTTTCATTACATCAAGACATTTCTTTAAGTCTGTTTCTATGACAAGTGCAACACATTGGATAACACATTAGGAAGGTTATGAACCAGAGCTCCGGTCATTCCAAGGAAAGAGGAATCTGTATGGTGATTAAATTTCAGGATATCAGTAGGAAGTTGAAATGAATGGGACAGAGAAGTACTTATCATAAACACAGTTAGTTATAGACATGAAATATTTTATGCTGACCACAAAAATTAGTCAGAGAAACATGATAATATATCTCTACTGCACCACAGCTCAAGAGGTTAGATGCCGGTTTCCCACTGCTGAGCCTTTCACTTTATTAATGGAAGAAACATTAGTTACAGCTTTGTGAAATAAATTAAATTTACAGTTTACACATAAAAAGAACACAAAATGCTGCCATTTATAATAACATACTCTGTTGTTCCAGTCTCATAATGGTGCTAATATAGAAAAATCTTCCAAGATGATTCCCAATTGCAGCGATGGCAGTTGAAAAACTATCTTTTATTCCTGTACATCTAAAATCAAAAACATTTATACTCAGCTGTTGGGTCACATCTGAAACATTACCTAGTAGTAATGAGCTAATGAAATTATACACAAATAGATATAATACTGATATTATGAATTATAACATGTTTGACCCTTTCAAGCCTGATGTAAATAATATTTAATATTTTTATTAGAGTACTGGTACATACAGTAACCACTGTGATTTAAAGAATTAAACATGTTAACATTTCCACAACGCAATTTTATATCTCTCATTAACTCCAAGAGTCATTTAGTATTTTACATTCCAAAAGAAACAAATTTATAACAAAGGCATTTTTAATTCAAATTACAGGCTGTAACGACGTGTGCCTCTCTTACTTACATAATATTAGCTTTGTGTACAGCTGTAACTTTTTGGCGTCCATTCGTTTTTGTATACGTGAACGCAAACTCAGCAACCCTTCTGGATGCCTCTTCTGTGATCAGCTTGATACTTTGGACCACTCCATCCACAATTTCGTGTTCAATGCCAGAGTATTCACCCTCAGTGTTCTCACGGATGGTCACAACATCAACATTATCATAGAGGGTCTCATATCCTTCTAAAGATCGACAAGGTCGTACATTTGCATACAGATTGAATTCTCTGCAAGAAGAAATCATTACGATTTATAAGGAAGTATAACTTGTGTATTGTGGTTCATATCACTAATGATACAAAGACTCTCCAGCAAGAGCATACCAGTGTGTATAGAGATATGATGCAACCAGTAACACACAGCAGAAAACTTTACACTGAATTTATTTATTTATGGTATATTTTACAATGCTGATCTCAGGGGCTGCACAGTCTAAGGCATAAAAAGTCTTCGCTTACTTGAACACTGGGATCGTGGGTTTGTATCCCACTTGAGGCATGGATGCCTGTGTGCGTTTATTCTGTGTTTGTATTGTCCTGTGTAAGCAGTGGCCTTGTGATGGGCTCACCCCCAATCCAAGGAGTCCTAATGATTGTCTTGGGATTAAGAAACTGAAGTGAAACAAAGCGTTTCACAGATGACCATGCTACAGAGTGGGAGATCTTATGACGATGGCAGTATATTGATCTATCCATATATAAAACATGAGAGATATAACTATATAAAGATTAAGCATATCTGCCATCATGTCAACACAGGCTCTGGGACCCATTCGATCTTTTATCCATATGGTACCAGAAAAACAGGTAAGATGTTATAAGGTTGCCCTGGCTTTGAAAGGACAAGAAGCAATAAATATCAAACAAGAAAGAAGAAAAAGATCATAAGTCAAATTAAACAGTTTAAATCATTATTAATGATTAATGATAATGGCATCACGTGACCAGTATCACTCCTAATAAAATGGGCGACGATATGTCGTTTTGCCAGTGTGCTGTCATCAAATTTCTTGTGAAAGATGAAATCTCTGCTGCAGAAATTCACCAGAGACTTCAGTGTGCTTATGGAAGTGTGAGCATGGGTGCGAGCAGCGTTCGAATATCGGTGAAACACTTTAAAGATGGGAACACCAGCATCAAAGATGAGCCTCGGAGCAGTCTTCCTCGAACAGCCTCAACTGAACGCAACAAGGAAAGAGTGGATGAGATCATTCAAGATGACAGGCGTGTGACTGTGGACACAATAGTCCAAAAACCTGGAATAGGGCACAGTGCAGTACAGGAGATGATTGAAAGCTTGGGCTATACGAAAGTTTGTGCTCATTGGGTCCCGTGGTTATTGACCGAAGACCACAAAAATCAGCGAAAAGCCATCACTTCAGATCTGCTGCAGAGATATCAACACGAAGGCAATGATTTTTTGCTCTGTATTGTGATAGGTAACAAAAGCAGGTTTCACCATTTCGAGCCTGAAATGAAATGGCAGAGTATGGAATGGCACCATTTGCATTCTCCATCAAAAAAGAAGGCAAAGACAGTGCCATCAGCTGCGAAGGTGATGGCACAGTCTTCTGGGATGCAGAGGGGTTTATTCTGGCCAAATTCCTGGAACCTGGGCAAACCATCAATGCTGCTCATTATGTCCAGACGCTGCACAAGCTCCGTCGTGCATTGTGCGATAAGTGTCCGGTACGAAACATCATCATCCTGCATTACAATGCTCGCCCCCAGACCGCTTGCCTCACATTGGAAGCAATTGCAAAGATGGGGTGGAAAGGTCTTCCACACCCCTCCTATAGCCCTGATCTGGCACCCTCAGACTACCATCTTTTCAGATTTGTGAAGGATCGGCTGCGTGGACAACATTTTGAGACAAGGGAGGCAATTCAGAAAGCAGTGCATCAGTGTCTTCGGATGGCTGAGCGGAATTTTCAAACTCCCAGAACGCTGGAAGAAATGTGTACAAAGAAGTGGCGATTATGTGGAAAAATAAAGAAAGGTCTGTAGACTGAGGAGGTGTATTTGGTTTGTCAATAATAAAGCATGTTTACTTTACAAAAAATTTTTGCTCATGACTTTCAGTACGACCCTCGTATTTCATAAACCTCATTTAAAATTTAATGCAGAACTTGGAAAATCAATCATTAACACAAATGTTACTATCTAAAGAATTTATTATTCTCAGTTAACAGTCATATTAAGTGGACTCACAATTCATTTTTCAAATCATAATTAAAAGTATGGAATGTCACACACATTTCCCCACTTAAAGAGTTAACTGATATGGTAAATTGGCATTAACTAAATATATAAGATTCCTATATGTGAATATTAGTTCTGGTATCACAAAAAGATGACACCAAACCAATGTTTCCTCAAAATTCAAGATGAAGACTTTACATGTAACAGGATAACACAGAATTTAATATACTGTATGGATTATAATGCTGCATAAGTCAAAATATAATTAGGTACAACATACACTCCATTCATGTATAGGGTTCGGATGCAGTTTTTTTTTTTTAATTTTACCATGGACTGAATTTATTTAAGGTGTATAAATCTGTACATTCTCATAAATCCATGAAGAGAAGCAGCAGACTCAGACAAGTGCTACTGTTGAATCTTTTTAAAATCATGAGTCTGCCTTCTACTACTGGCCAGAAAAGTACCCAGAACAGCCATTTACTTTCAGTCAGATAATTACAGAATACAGCACACTGTAACTGCTGATTTTAAGTGTGTAGTCAACACGCCAAAATTGCTACACTGCCCTTGGCTACTGTTATTTAAAATCAACGACATTTATAACCATGGCAATTCTGTGAACAGTTCATGACACAAAATACAATTTATTTTAGATTTTTTATGGTTAACGGATAACACATATCTGCAAATATTTATTTTATTTCTATAGCTGGATGGCCCGGGTTTGATTTTTCTCTTCTTCATAGCGTCAAGACTGGTTCTGGGGGCCAACCAGCCTATCCAATAGGTACCAGGGGGCACTTTCCCTGGGATGTAAAGCAGCAGGTAAGTGAGACTGACCACTCATCTTCATCTAGTGCCAAGGTCAAGAATGGTGGGGCTATACCTCCACTTCCTGATATATCTTCACAGCATGGTGCTTAATTAATTAAAGGGACAACTTCAAACTTAACTTTATTCATTGTGGTCCCTTACACTAGTAAAACTAAATTACAGAATAACTGTTAATTGCCTCAAAACACAGTAAAAAGAAAACAACTAGACTTCACACCGATACAGAACCATAAGGTAAGAAAAAGGGGGCATCACTGCAAGGACCTTTGGGCACTCCAAATAATACCCCAACTTCCTGTTTTAACAGAAGAGGCACAAGGAGGCAAACCATATTCGTTCAAGATCTAAAATATCAGACATCAATAAGATTTTAATTCAAATAATTGTGCATAACTTTTCATATAAACACTTCTAAATATGTATTATGAACTCTGTGAGAGTAATTTCTGAACATGTTGATCTCATTCCTTCTGAAGATGGTCAGCTGACCGAAACATGTAAAGACAGTAAATATCTACAAATTGAATCACACTGGATGGTGTCAACAATATTTTATAATTTAGGACAACTTTAACTTTATGTGAATTATGGTAAAGGCATATGTTTCACAGACATATAACAGAAAGTTGAAAATACTTACTTTCTTAATGCTAAATTCAATGAGCGATGGCCCTTACCAACTGGTGTCATAAGAGGACCTTTCAAACCCACTTTGTTTTTGTTCACAGAATCAATTGCTGCCTGAGGGATGCCAAACCTGCCATCAGGCCCTCGTACAGGAGTGACATCCACGGACTCCCACTCAATAGGCACCTATATTGCAGAACATACAAAATGGATAACGTGTTGGCATACAGCTTGGGGCCATGTATCCATCTGTAATCACACGTGAAACCCAGGCAACAGGAACGTGTGGCAGGGTTACTCAAAGTACTGGGCCTTGCCACAGCTAAGTTAATCACTGGCTTCCAACCGAGGCAGCCCAGGTCAGGTCATGTGTGATTTGTGGCTGAAAAGGTGACACCACTGGGGCAGGTTTCCTCAAGTACTTCGGTTTCCCTTGCAAATTTGCATTCCACAGATTGCACCACCACCACCACCACCAAAAATCCTGTATGACCTCACATGGAAGTGAACCTGGGCTGCCAAGGTAGGACGTTTGCAACTGACAGCCCAAATTTTATATGCTACAGGTTCAGACTACATTAAATTTTAGAGATATAATCTCAAGTGTTGTGCCATAAACATGTCTGCAAATGTTAACACATGAATTCATCTGTTTATGACTTAAATCTTTAATAATTCTTTATCAATATCAACATAGAAAGCTATAAAAGTACAAATTTTGTACTTGCAATGTACTTCTCTTTCTTCTAGCAACTCAATTGTGTAAACACTGTGTAACTCATTTAAGTGACTGCAACAGTTACAAACAAATGTGATCATGCAAACAGCTTATATATGACATAACCTGAAAGTTATCAGAAAGGCAAGGCAAGTTATGTAACCTATAATGTTACCTGATAAAATAAAATTAGAAACCTACAACTAAAACTACTTTCTTACATTAGCAGCAGAAAAGATTTTCTGTACAGCAGCAGAAATTTCGGGTCCGATACCATCACCAGGTATGATCGTTACTTTCCGTACTTCGCTGCTATAATAGCGAGCCAATGGGGCACCATTTGACACCTACAAAACATGAAAGAATGCGGCCTATTATAAGGGCAAACCATTTAACATTAATTAACATATCACACCTAAGTAAATAATTAAATTAGGCCATATTTGAAATATATGTACTTCGAAAGACATGTCTGCCATATTTTGAATTCCACGTAGGCCTCAAACGCGGAAAACGAAACACAAAAATAATTAAACGAGTGTAATTTGAGCCTTAACGTGACCAAGATCACAACAACAAAATATTAACTTTTAAGTCACAAAGGAGTACAATGTAATTATTCAGCACAGAAATTTCTTAAACATTTATGACTGTGTACATATTATAAGGATTGTTATAATTCACAAAGCAATACAATTAAATATGAAGGAACTTACCACTCTCCTTATGAACTGAGCAGCCATCTTGAGATATAGAGACAGCTGCTAAAGAAAAAATTGGGTACCATCTATTGACAAGTTTCGAAAGTATTTACTTTTGATCCCGTGATCCGTTACAAGATGGCACAATATGTATGTGTATAAGACCAAAGGGGAACAATGATGCACATTTTGCCTGGTAACATCAAAAAAGTATCCCAAAGTCACTTACAGAGCTCTTGAGGCTAGATGAATAAATATTTATGCAAGGGGTCTGTTACTTCACAAACAAAATTCCTAAATGTATTAAAAAAATAAGCAAATGCACAAAATGTTAAGATATATATTAAAAAATCGCTGTGCGACTGCTGTGATAGAATAAGATGTTTATTAGAAAGAGTTACAGAGGGCCGGGTGCACATTGCCTGGGCCTTTTTTGTATTTATAAATTTTAAAAATATATGCCGAAATGAACAAAAAATATGCATGAAACATCGTTCCCTATGAAGTTTCCCCTACATTTCCCTAATACTCCAGTCTTAAACCAGGAAGAATAAGTACTATACGTCCCTAGGTCTGGTTGTTTTCCCATCTCGGCGACTCTCCAAGTGACGTGTTCACACTCATGTATACATCTCTCACATGCTTCCAAACCAAAACTCATGATGCTTGGAATTGTCTCCATAATATTATAAAATAATAATAAATGGAATATGAACAGAAGAATATCTGTGAAGGCCTACATTTACAAGACGTTTCTAGTATAATTTCAGTAAAATAAAGAAGTTTGTGGGCGTCAGAAAATAAAACTCATATTGCCTCTTGACCGTGCACTGGAAATGATTGTTGAAGTACATGACCATGCTAACAATAGGAATGGATTTCCTGCCAAACGGTAGCCCAGTAACACTCTAATCACTAGTGCACATAGACAGAATGCTCCTTGTACATGCTTCTCAATATTCTGGCAGTTTCGGGCACTACATGGGCAGTCATCGCACGCGCAAACCACTTGGCTAATCATAACACTCGCCTTAGCTGAAAAGAAAACGGAATTAGGATTTTCTTATCTGGGAATAGGAGAAAAATTACGGTTGAAGTTGCTATTAACCACTTTCTTTACATCCATCTAAAGCAAAATTGTTTAACACTGAATCATCACAATTTTCTCTATTTAAGTTATTTTATTGCTACCATGGAGAGTCAGTAAATTGGTCACAAATGGATATAAAACGTAGAACATGGGATATTCGAACCTGGAGAAAAAATTATTTCTTGACATATCCTCCACCAACATTAATACACTTGTTCTATCGCTACACTGTCTACCGTTATTCAACTGTCAGCTCGAATAAACTGTTCCACCTGCTGCACAGTTGCTTCTGTCGCAATCTTAACAGGGCGACTTAGTAGGGCCTCATCTGTGACTTTCTAACGTCCTTGAGAGAATCTCTCGACAAAGTTGCGAAGTGCTTTACGCGGCAAATACTTCCCACCGTAAACAGGAAATATTTTTATGAATATTCTTTGCATGTCCTTTTGCCCACAGAAAACGCACAACGGGATTATGCTCCTCAGTAGTATACCCATCAAGCATGGTCGCCATTTTGATTACCGAAACCAGCCTCTGAACATGTGCATTCTCGTGTGCTACCTGGACTGTCATGAAGCTGGGCTGTGCTGCTACGTAGTGATACGTATAGAAACCCTATTACGTCAATTACGGCTGTTTTACTTCCTTTTGTGAACTATTTACTGACTGTCCTCGTGTATGGGCTAAATCACAGCAGAGACTATCTGTTGGACCTCCACTGACCACAGTTTGACAGACACTGGTCTGAACCCTGCGGCATTGCTGTGAGTTCTATAGATAAAGTTCTTTAATGACAATGTTGGATCTGAGCTTCCCACAGCGGTGGCTAAATTCTGGAATATGACGCCGTGTGGTCCGATGAAAGTCAACAAGCGTATCGGAATATCGCCCCATCTTCAGGGCCGAAGTGTAAACCAGGCAAGAAACCACAATGAAACAGGCAGCAAGCAGAGCTCTGTTTCCTACTTCCGGTTGCCTTTCGTTCCACTACATGGCGTTACATTGCAGATGATCTAATTCTTCCTTAACGGCTATTTCTATTAGGGAGTCACACATGACAAGTTTGAATTAAAACTATGGAAAAGATTAAACTTTTCCAGTAGTCTGAGGTAGCGCAGTCCGTATAGCGACTGGTTACGGGTTGTACGGCCGAGGGATCGGAGTTCGAGTCCCGGTAGGGTAAAGAATTATCTCCTCTCCGCGTCGTAAAGACCGGTTCTGTGGCCCACACATTCTCCTATCCAATGGGTACCTGGCGATATTTCCCCGGAGGTAAAGCGGCCGGTGCGTGAAGCTGACCACTCACCTGCAGCTAGTGCTGAGGCTCTATACATTCACTCCCCCATGCGTCTTCATAATGTGCTTAATTAGTTAAACACGGGAACATTGCTTTCATCAGCAGTTTACGCTGGACGCGAGAAGTACTCAATTTGAAGGATTTCTGGTAGTGGATACGTTTTCAAGTAAAATAGAACGGTAGACTTAAAAGCTAGAATTTAATTTACGACACCCAGCAATTAAGTGACTCCATTTTTAAAAGAACCGAGATATGAAACACAGTAATTTTTCAGAAGCTAATAGTTGTTTAGGTGGTCAAGAAATTTACCGTCTCTTATTTAATTCCTAGAATCATTACCATATTCATATATGCCAAACGAACCCACACCATACCACCATTTTTTTTAGGATCCATTTTAATATCTCCCAAGTTGGCTCCTTACTTCAGCTTTCGCAACCAAAATTCTGTATACATTTTTCACATCACATCCTCCTATATAATGGAATCTGGCGACTGGTACAATTTAAAAGAAAAACTGCTCATTATGCGCTTGTCTCCATTCTCTTGTCAGCACGCTGTTCCCCAAAGCACTCCGTCTCTGATGATGTGGCGAAGACAGATAAAATCTCCAGTGAAACCCTTGATCAAGCTGGGAAAGTTGGCATTTTGGTTTATTGTTACATTATTTGAGTATCATATTTCTAGCCAATACATGCAGACAGAAGAGGCCTGTTGTTTTCCACAGTATTGTGTTTAAACGCCATGTAACTGGAGCGTACTTATTAAACAGCCGCCAGAGGGCAAATGAGTGTATCTATTGTTTAGATATTTCACGTCTTGACAGGAAAACAGTTTCCTCGTATTATGTTGAGCGATTGGCCTGCATGAGATTTTAAGGGCGAATGCCTCTCTCACACTGCCTAATCAGTTAACAGTATTTGCAGGTCTCGTTTAGTGCGCTTCGCAGATGTTATGTTTTCTACAAACTGAAGGTCACGGAGTAATTTCGACTTATTATTTAAGAAACACATTTCGCCAGGCTACACCTGCCTTAGATAGTGATTTCTCTGATGGATCTAGGCGAGCAAACTGAACACCTTCTCCAAAGGATTCACCATTCTAGATGCCATTAGGAACACTCGTGAAGTCAAAATATCAACAGCAATAGATATTCGGAAGAAGTTGATCCCAACCCCCACGGATGACTTTGAGGGGTTCAGGACTTCAGTGGAGGAAGTAACTGCAGATGTGGTGGAAACAGAAAGATAACTAGAACTAGAAATGGAGCCTGAAGAGGTGACTGGATTGCTGCAACCTGATGATAAAACTTGAACGGCTGGGGAGTTGTTTCTTATGGACAAGCAAAGAAAGTGGTTTCTTGAGATGGAAGCTACCCTGGTGAAAATGCTCTGATCCCTGTTGCAGAGGCAACAAAGGATTAAGAATATTACATAAACTTAGTTGATAAAGCAGCGGCAGTGTTTGAGAGGGTTGACTCCAGTTTGGAAAGAAGTTCTTTTGTGGCTAAAATGCTATCAAACAGCAACTCATGCTGCAGGGAAATCTTTCATGAAAGGAAGAGTCAGTCGATTCACCGAAATTCATTGTTATCTTATTTTAAGAAGTTTCCACAGGCACCCCCACCTTCAGCAACCACCACCCTGATCAGTCAGCAACCATCAACATTGACGCAAGACCCTCCATCAGCAAAAACATGACGACTCGTTGAAAACTGAAATGATGATTAGCATTTTTAGCAATAAAATATTTTTTAATTAAGGTATGTACATAGTTCTTTAGACGTAGTGCTATTGCACACTTATTAGATTACAGTATAGTGTAAACATGACTTTTATACGCATTTGGAAACCAAAACATTCACGTGACTCGCTTTATTGCGATGATCTGGGATCGAACCTGCAGTATCTTCAGGGTATGCCTGTACTGCTCTCTTCTTACAGGAGATGATCATCCTTAAGAAAGGGAAGACTGCTTCTAACTGATTACGAGAAAGCATCTATCCGTGAACAAGAGCACAGGCAACTAATCAAATAGTCCATATATATTTTCGCATGCCGTGAATCCGGAAGCGACACTTCCACGGAAACGCAATAACAATGAGTGTTCGCTAGTCGCTAGTCGCTATCTTAATGTTTTTTTATTTAAATTTTATTTAAACATACTGCCTGAAGCTGCAGAACGTTGAATGGTCGGACAATACTAAGTACAAACTTGTCAAGCGGTCCTGGCATAATTAAAGTAGGGTTACTATTCAGGCATTTGCCTGGAGTGACTGAGGTAAGCCATACATAATCTCAGTCAGGAAGGCAGTGTACCAACCGAGATTCGAACTGAGCACGGTCCGAATAAATATAAGAAACATTAACTTTAAGACAACTTGATCAGTAGAACTTTATCATCGAAACGCACTGGGGGAGTCAGCGCTGGTTCCCTTGGCTGGCTGTATTTAAACGAAGCGCAACGAGAGGCCAGTAAGGACAGAGTTGCGTGTCCTTGTTCACAGCTGAATAAATTTACATGTCTGTAATGTATGCGTTTTGTTTCTGCATTGTTATGCTTCTTAAAAAGGGAGTGCTTTGTAATATTATCAACAGAGATATTTAATTTTGTGTTCCCATCCCTGGCCCCCTTTGTGCAGCCTCGTTGATATATTAGTGTTCACACGTCTTCAACTCTTTATTATATACCACTAATGTTTCGGCCTAACTGGCCATCCTCAGGTGTACAAAATTATGGGACAAAGGAACCTGCTGCTCTGCTGTTATGTTATCCTGCTTTCCATTTTCGATGTAAAGGCTTCAGAATATTCTAGATTATGTTTGGTTGTCTTGCCGTTGCTATGCACATAGAGCATACACCTGATGATGGCCAGTTAGGCCGAAACATGTTTTCTTTCTCTGTACGGCTCTACAGCCCTTTGGACCTTGGCCGCGTTTTCAGTTTCTTAGTCCTATGCACAGTCGGCAGGACTCCTTGGTCAGATGATTAGCTTGTATCAACACAACACGAACACAGGTAAACGCACACAGATATCCATGCCTCGAGTGGGATTCGAACCTACGATCCCAGTGTTCGGGCGGGAGAAGAGAGTTTATGTCTTAGACCGCACGGCAGCCGAAACATGTAGACTGTCTAGGAAGCAGAAGAGGACGAAGCTGCACGAGGGCAAGGAGTGGCAACACAAGGGTGGAATACACAGTGCAACAGGATGCTGCAGTATAAGGTTGTGTTGATGTTATCATGAAATGTTTCTCACCGTGTGTACCGTGTGTGTGTGTATATATTCCGGAATATAGCATGAGCTAATATTTCTTCCCACGTTGTACTCTCGTCCATCCCAAGGACCTGAGTTCGATTACAGTGCTTATAAATTTAGATTATGCCAATTTTTTGTCATGAAATGCTAAAAACAGCAGCGGATTTGTAAATATTGTTTAGCAGGACCTAAGTAATGATAAGAGGACACAATATTTCGAGTCTTGAAATTCAGAAATATGTATATATATTGTCGTATATAATGGGTAGCCTTGACGAATAATTGTGGGTTCTGGATTTGATGACTGGATTTATTGGACTCCCCTATTTCAAACACAGTTGATTATAACAGCTCACACATTGAACTTCTTGATAACAAATCTCTCACTGTTGTCTGAATCTCAGACTGAACTAACTTCGTGCGAACAGAATATGGATTTCCATGTCGGACAGTTGATTGTCCCTCGATGATCTCTGTTGCCATGAAACGTGTGACAATTTCCGGACAAAGCTATGATTTACACAAGCATATTCGTTGCCGCGGAAACGTGTTTCAGCCGTTGTCTAGCAACAGATGTTTCTGTTGTGCTTTTCTAACTGCACACTTCCGGCGTCCGGGCGTCATGCCACAAGATATATATATATATATATATACATATGTATACACACAAAACAAGAAATCTGTTTGCTTGTATGTCAGACATAAATTAGGCGTAACGGAAGAAAAACAGAGAAAGAAAATTTTAATAGGTTTTGAGATTGTGGCACAATAGTCACGTCACAATATGGCGGGGCATGTACATCGCAGCAGGAGTATAAGAGTTTGAACCGAACTCAGAAGCCGGGTAGGTTGAGTGGCGGTCTTGGTCAACATGTGCGCCGATGGTTTACGCTATGACACACAGACTGTCTAAGCGTACCCTTGCTCGTGTCACAAATGACCTCAATTACGATGGGTGACGTGAGCTATCGATTTGAGAATTTTAAAGCCCGGTTTTGCATTGTTAATAAACTTTATTTGGTAGGTTGTGGGGTGCAAAAAGTACTTCTAGTGCCCTCTGGCAATGTAAGGCCTACACGCATTGTAAGTATTTCCAGGTATGTATGTATGTATGTATGTATGTATGTATGTATGTGCTGCAGTTTGTAGACCCGTTACTAGTTAGCGATCCAAGCAAACATGTTCCCACAAAAAAGAGTCCCCGCGCAGCAACAGAGGAACTGTTGGAAGAAGCGTTTTCAACAAACCTATCTCATCACTGAGGATGTTACATAAAGTCTATGACTGTAAGGACTCAGCTGTAAAAATATCTCTGGTTGTGAGTCTCAAGGGACTTGGCGCCAGGAAGAACTGATTGGCGTTAAACAGCCAGTCGCAAAGAACTTTGACTTTGACTATGAGCTGAGTTCAGTTTTGGGATATTTGCCAGATGATGAGGACGTAAGCGGACAGAGTTAAAATCCGTTACTAGGAAACGACTAGTGAGGAGAGAGAAGGCTTTATGTGTGCTGTAGTTAGTGTGATATTTGAAGAAATACAGTGAGACCGTTATAGCTACTTTTAGTTACGATCCGCAAATGGTCAATACATCAAATTACCAATCAAACCCCGTCCATAGTGGCTCAGAATCGTGACAGTATATAGGACTATATATGTACGTATGTATGTATGTATGTTACAAAGCTCTGTGGTACATAGATGGGGTTAATCTGAACACATTTTGTTAGCGTCTATCCGGAAACGCTTTGTTTACTTGCTAGGGCCTCTGAAATGTGAAGGAGGATGCCCTTACCTCTTACCTCTGTGGCTTACTGGTGAGGTCTACCTAACATTTCCCCAAGAGACCTTACCCGAGCTTCTGGAAGTGGTGCCTTTGGAAGTCCGTTGTGAAATGCGGTTCCAGCATGATGGTGCCCCAGCACACTGCACTAATGTCGTCCGTGACTATTTGGATGAAACCTTTGGCAACAGATGGATTAGACGCGGAGGCCCAATAACCTTGCCCCGTCGCTCCTCTGGCTTGACTCCATTGGATTTCTTTCTCTGGAGGTACATGCAACATGATCTCGTGGCAAGAATTACAGTAGTAGCTGGAACCTTCCGGGAAATGCATAACATAGCCAGGCGGTGTAGAATATACAATGAAGTCGGCCGCCATTTTAAACAGCTTTTATAATGTAAAACAACCATAACATCCCCTAAAACGTATGCATCCTCTCGGAAAATTTGTGACCCTTAGTGCCAAAAAGAAGCGTTTCCGCACGTGGGTGTATTAACAAAATATAATTACATTGAACCCATCTATCTACCGCAGAGCCTTGTAACATATGTTTATTTACACTCTGTATACCGAGTGTGTGTATGCCTACATATGTGTAGCTTCAGTGCATATGCCACAACTTCCTAGGTTCTTTTCCTTGAATATACATGAACGAAATTGTTGCCTGACGAAACGTTAACCGATGCTTCCCTTTGGCAATGCTGCGCGTTATGAAGAACGCGCACGTCTAGTGTGTCAGAAACATGACATTTTCACGAGTCTTTTGAAGGCTGCATCGAGAGCGGATCACATTCAGTTCACACGAACAGGCTCTTCCAGCAGAAGGAGCAACTTCAGCTGCAGTGTGATCTGAACACTTTCCTATGGTCTAATTATGTTAGATGTTAGAGGGTTAAGGGAACTGTTTAGTTTGATATGCAATTCTCAGATATTATGCAACGTTTCCAAAGGTTCCACGAATATATGTTCATTGTTACTGGAAACTCTAAATTTGGTTATACTTCAAAATTAGTCATAATTTTATTCTCAGAATATTGGGAAAATATTTAAGATTTAAGACTTAAGAATATCTCTTTAATTTTAGTAAGAACTGAGTCCTAAAGAAGGAAAAAATTCTTTTTTCATTACCTGGTAATTAATCTCTGAAAATTTAGATCATGTTCCCCTCTAGGAACATTGCATTTCCCATGATATTATTATTATATGGAGTAGTCAGTATAGCGTCTGGCTATGGGCTGGACGACCGAGGGGTCGGAATTCGAGTCCTGGTACGATCAAGAATTTTCTTTTTTCCTCGTCGTCCAAACTGGTTCTGGGGTCCACGCAACTTCCTATCAAATGGGTACTGGGGGTGTCATTCCCCAGGGGTAAAGTGGCTAAGGCGTGAAGCTAACCACTTCCAGCTAGTGCCGAGGTCAAGAAAATGTGTATCTATACATCCACTCCCCCATACGCCTTCATGGCCTAGTGTTTAATTTGTCAAACTTTTATGAAAATATTATCAGTAGACCCAATTCCGCTCTGAAATTTGATTAGTCCTTAAAACCAATATAACTATTTGAAAGGAAATAACGGTGGCAAGTTCATTTCGTCAGCCCAGCAGAGCGAGAAGAAAGGAAAAGTAAATTAAATGGAACAGAATAGACGAACGTAAGATGTAACAATCTCACAGCTGAGGGTACGAAGTTTTGTGTTCTAGGAATAAGGACTACACGGCGCTATATTCCCGAAAGATATAACTTTTCAAAATAACAGAAGTTATTACGAGGGAGAGGCAGTAAATAGGTCTCAAACGGATACATAACGTAAAGGATATTCGAATCTTGAAATAACATTTATTTCTCGACATATCCTCCACCAGCACTGATATTCTTGTCCCATCTTTTTACCAGTGCGTTGAAGCCCCCAGCATATAAGTCTTCTGACTGTTGTCTCAGCCACTTCCGCACCTCTGTTTCAGCTTCTGCCACCAAGGCTGAACAGCTTTACGCGACAAACACTTCCCGCCTTAAACAAGAATCATTATTTCGCAGTGAGATTTTTGTCCACAAAAACACAACAGAACGCTGCTCTTCGGTAGTACACTTAAGCACGGTCGTTACTTTGACCACTTAAACCAGCCTCTGAACATGCGCATGCGCGTCTGATACCTAGACTGTCACGAAGTTGGACTGTGCTGCTACCGAGTGATACATATAGAAAACCTATTACGTCAATTACAGTTGTTTCGCTTTCAAGTCTTGACCTATTTACTGACTCTCCCTTGTAGTCCATCGGGCCATTTCTTTTAAAACAACAATCCTAAAAATGTGTTCTTGCTTCCTTAGGCAGAAATCGACGCTCTCTTCTGCCTGCTCTGTGTGGTTGTAAAATTAAATATATTTAGAAGCGGGTATGCATACTAGCTGTATGCATACCGGCTTCTAAATGGCGCACTTAAGCTCCATTAAAGTTCCGCTTTTTGCTTCGAGGCAACGGAGGAAACCCGCGATAAATTCAGACAATCATTTGCCATAATTCTATACTTCTTGATTCGTTCATGATGAATCCCAATTACTTTTGAAATGTTGCTGTTGTGTTTCATGATGGGCCAATGTATATTTGAGAAAAAATCTTCCCCTTAATAAGAAAAAGAAGGATGTATTTATTACTCATTAAAGCACGAACAAAACAAAGTTAACCTAAGCACTGAAATATGTTGCAGTCTTCTGAGTAATGACACATTGCAGTATGGCAGCCTGTCGTTTTGCAGAAACGTACTGCCTCCATCTTCAGATTAGCATAAATAGAGTTGTAATGTGTTCTTTGGAAATATTTTCACCCAGCCTCCAGATTATACGACGTTGTATTCAAGAAGATTCCAATAAGAATATTTACCCCATTGAAAATTTCAAATGTAATGTCATTAGTTAATCAATTGGCCGATAACTTCGATGTATAATGCTATGTGGGCAAATGTTTTTCTCCCCTTGTAAATTCTTTGCAACTTTTCCTAGACTGAATGGATTATTGTATTTCGGGGCTGGCTTAACGGGGCACTTCGACCGAAAAAAATGACGATCAACTTCTGTACATGAACTAGAAGCCTTATTTATGGAATCTAGAGGGATATTTTAATCCAAGGGACGGTAGAGAGTCGCTTTCATCTCCATGACCAAGACACCGTCTGAAGACTGGTCGGTGGGAGCTGGCGGGACGTCCATCTGAAAAAGAAATGAGACTCATTAGCGACAATCATTTAATGCTAATTCTAAAATACATCCACTCTACGAACCAGGCTGTGTCGTATCTCGTGCAGCCTTCCGAATGGAAGAAAACTCTCGTGTAAAAATATTATTGTCACAATTTAGGGTTTGTTGCGAGATTTATGACAGTTTCTGGATTGGATGATTAGATTTACTGGCACCTTACACACAACTCGGGACTACAGGCAATTACAGGGCTAAAGTTGCAGTTCACCGTTATATAAACATTAGGATTCTCAGTCCTCACTAGTTGTATCCTGGCAACGGATTTGTAAGTCTCACTGTCACTTCAAATTACAAATGAAGCCTTCTTCGCACAGTCTAATTCCTTTCTTGTAATCATTCTGCAACTGCCAACTCAATTCAGTTCCTCTGCACCAAAACTCATATCCCGGCAGGCTGCCGTCTCGAACTCAACTCTATTCCCTTTTCTGCTCAAGTCAAAGTAAAAGTAAAAGTCAAATTACGACTGACGGTCAGTCAGTCTGTAAGTCTTGGTGTCGAGCCCGATCTGGGGCTTATGACCAGATATTTATTACTGTTTGACAGTTACGGTCTTGTTTTTGTGGCGCGCCTTCTCTGACGAGAGGACGGGTCTGTCTTTTGTACATGCTGTTGCCTCTTGGCAACGCAGTCTTTCTTGGATCCGAGTCCCTGTCTACGATTTGAGACTTCCCTTTTCGTCGCTCCTGCTACTCGCAGGGTCACGGAGGAGGTATTCGACCCCGCTTCCACAAGGGTGCCTTTTCTGCTCAGCTGAATTCTTCTTTATAACCACTTTGCACGGGCCCCATGGAAAACACCGCCTTCTGTTGTACATTATTGTTTTAGGTGTTTACCGCACCAATGCATAGCAACTATTACTTTACCGATCACACAGAAAACAACCTCTTTGTTGTTAAGGCGCGTTTACGTTAGGCACGTGTTTACTGATTCGTTGCCTAGCAATGGATATACACGTCACATTATTTTTGGTTTGAATTTTCCACAAGTGTGTACTCGTAAATACATGAAGTATGTCTAAAAGAGAAGCTAGTGGCTTTCAAATGATGACGTAACAGTTATGTCACAAACTGATGATGACGCAACCTTGTTCCTCTCAAGGCGCGTCCACATTACTCGTGCTCGTGCTCGCCAGGCTTGTGTTCGTCTGGGTTTTACTTGCGCTCGTAAATCTTCGTCCACACTACTTCAGTTGCTCGCCAGGCTTCGGCGCGTGAGGATCCGTATATTTACTCATAGTGTGTATAGGCTGTAATCGTATTTTAATTTTCATTTCATGCATCCTGTTGTGTTACAATATACAACCTCTTTATTAACCGTCACAACACAACACATATCAAGGCCAGTGCCCAGCTACGGCTCTGCTACATGTTTCTGCTATCAACAGCCATCATCAGGCAAATACATGGTTAAACATATATACACCACTGAACTGCAGTACTGTTAAACTGGATACAATACCATAAACATATAAAACACTTGACGTAAAAAATACAAATCAGATTATGTATATAAAAAACAGAAGTTATAGTATAAAACAAGAATAAAATTTTAATTGACGTTTTATAACATCGAATCAGTCGTTGGTTTTGTATTTTCGTACGTTCCCACGGACAAATTGGAATATTCTATATTTTTTCTTTTTTGTTTTTGTATATAAGATTGTATAGGAGGCTCGTGATGTAGATGTAGTAAATTATTTTACTACTATAATTCCATGGGAACGTAAAATATGACCTGCAAAATGACCGAAAAAAAATCCAGAAAAATGACCTATAATATGACGNAAACAAGAATAAAATTTTAATTGACGTTTTATAACATCGAATCAGTCGTTGGTTTTGTATTTTCGTACGTTCCCACGGACAAATTGGAATATTCTATATTTTTTCTTTTTTGTTTTTGTATATAAGATTGTATAGGAGGCTCGTGATGTAGATGTAGTAAATTATTTTACTACTATAATTCCATGGGAACGTAAAATATGACCTGCAAAATGACCGAAAAAAAATCCAGAAAAATGACCTATAATATGACGCAAAAATGTAATATGCAGGTCCCGGATTTTGATGACCTGAAAATATTAAAAAGATGACGTATAAAATGACCGAAATAATCCAGAAAAATGACCTAAAGGAGAAAAGAAAGAACACTTCGCTTCCATGTTATTCACATTGCAGAAAACATATGAAGAAAAATTCCCTAAAATGGCCAAAAATGACAAGAAATACCCTTAAAAGTCCAAAAATTACCCCCAAAATAAAAAAAGACCTTAAACCTAAAAATGTCAAAAAAATGACAAAAAATTACCTATAGAATTTACATTTCTGTAACCAGCAGCTCACATGGGAGATTTATATACACGTATTTAACAGCATCGAATAGGATACAAGGAAAAAAAGATGACATGTAATCAAAATCCGGGCCCTGGTAATCACATTTCATTTTTAATTTTCATTTCATGCATTCTGTTGCCAAGTTTGGCTCTGCACTTGGCACTGACCTCAATTTAGTTGTGTTGTGACGGTTTTAATAAAGAAATTGTACATTTCATTTTATCCATTGAGGGTGGGGTAGGAGGATGGCAGATAAACAAGAATTTCTCAGACGAACTAATAGCCCACTTTCCTTTCATTACATATTATTTTATACGACACGGATCACATAGAAAACACCGTGTTCAACATGTCTCCTATTGTATTCGCTGCAACAGGATCGTATTTACCGACAATAAAACGATAGGTGGGGATACACAGATACACAGACAGCAAGGTGATCTCATAAGCCTCCTTTTATTTAAATAAGATAAAGTAGTCTATGTTTTAATTTATGTTGTTGTACAGGACATCCTTCTCCCTTTTAGTTATGGTGGACAGTGACATGTACAGTATCCTGATTGAGGCACAAGTTCATGAAGATGTTTCTAACATACGTCCACAAACACCATTTTGGTAACGACTGAGAAATACACGAAATGGATTTCATGTGGATTAAGTGAAAGCTGAAGTGAATTGAACCTGTTTTTTGTCACTGATTACAACTCGGATTGATACTGAGGTATGATTTATGTGATATTTAACAACACTTCATCAATTATACATGCTGTATTTCAATTATATTACAGTTTTACATAATGACTTACCTGGACTTGGTAGCCATGATCATTCCTCAGTCTGAAGGTCCCCACTTCGTGATTCCCATATGGCTGAGCTGATATCACGGGTGCTCCTTGCTGGTTCAAGATCACTTCTGGTTGTTCTCGTTCATGCCTAATCACAACTGGTTCAGCAACATACCTGTAGGTTCCTTTAGGAAGGTTTTCCTCTACACGGATCACATTCTGTAGGTTCTCCGAAGGTGGAAAATACCTGATGTCGGCCACAGGGTTAGGAACTCGACCGTAAAACTTTTCATAATGCCTTACGACACTGAAAGGAGGATAACTTTCAGGATTTGTACTGTAATCTAACTTGTTTGCTGCGATCAGTTGCTGATACAACTTTTCAGGGAATGTGTCTGAAATATCATTGAAACGCGTCGGGCTGTAGGAAATTTTGCCTGCAACATTGAATGGTTGTTGGTAAGGACCACGGTACGGGTAGTTGATATGCTGTAACTGATTCAAATTCGGAATCCTCTCGGCATCTAGACGCGCGAACCGAGAGGTGACACCTGTGAGAGACGTTAGTTCAGGATCGGTCTGGTAAGGATAAGGAAGCCTATTCAATTTGTAGGCTCTGTCAGTGGAGCTTCCCAAATAATCTGTTATTGGACTAGATGTGGAATATAGACCAAAACTGGAAGGATTAATCAAGAGAGATTTTTGGTAAGGATTAAATAGTACAGGATGTACGTTTGGGACAATCCCAGAATTAGGCTGTCCCACGCTGTGTACCAGGGGATCATATTTCTCCTGAAGTATATCGTCAACTACTGGTTTAACATTCAAACTGATTCTTGGTACATATCCCGGATTGTAATATGATACACCGTTCTTTGGATCCACGAATACTCCAATGTTAAGTTCTTTTGATGATGGTTCTTCTAGAGAATTTGAGCCAGGGTTGAGTTGATTGATGTTAGAAATAGAAATCGGCGAATATGAAGCTTTCCACTGGTGATCGTTGATCAGATCACTGTCATTACTATCATCTTTGACTCCAACAGCGAAACCAACGTCGAGATCTCTTGAAGATGGTTCCTGGAATATTCCAGTACCTCGAATATTTGATAGATCTGCGATGTTTCTACGAGATACTTCATGTCGTCGTTCGGGAAGAGAATATATCTTCTGCAGCAACTGTCGTAGTTGCTCTCCATTAAGTCGGCAGTCTGTACCTTGGACACATGCAGCGACTATAAGGAGCAGTATGAACTTGGTGACACAACTCATGCTGGCGATGTCAGACTGCGGCAGGTGCTGTGAGCAAATGAAAGTCTGGACCGATAATATAACATACAGCTATGACGCATGAGGGACATCTATGTACAGAGTGTGCCGTAAATAATGTAGCACCAATATTGATACACAGAGGTAGAAGAAAAGACGGAGAGATTGCAATTGAATTCTGCCTGATTCAGGTGGCAAATGTGATAACCATTCAAAGACTAATCATTCGGTCTGATAAACTCTGCTGGCCCTCGACAGCACAGTCAGCCTTGGTTTAGGGCCCCGTCGTGACTCACAGCCATATTTTTGTTCCTTCCAGAACTTTTGTGTGTTTTGAAATGAGACCTCTTCGATGAGAGGTAAGGTCTGACTATTACATGTAACTCTCCCTCTATTGGGATTGCCTAAAGCGGACAGTGACTAACTGGCCATTTCCTCCACACAGACACACACCTCCTCCTCTAACCCTCACTGCTGCTGACTGAATCTCAAAGACTGGATTTCTTCTGAACTCTATATAAAATATTTAGTCCGTACCTCGCAGGAAACACGTTACGTCTCCGATACAGAGACCAACCGGTTAATTCTGTTTAGGGAAACAGTTGCTGTTTATTGTGAAACCACACGGAACACACAAATACCCTCTGTATGTGCAGAATGCAGATTTTCACTATGTTAAGAGCAGGTGGTATATATAAAACCACTCTGCCGAAGCTCTCATGGTGCCTTTGCACAAAGAAGTAGGGCGATCGGCCCTGTCGAAGTCGAGTTGGTGTATAGCTTTTCCGAAATTCCACACTGAAACAGCTGATCGTCCGAGAGGATGCCATTCAATGTTGATGATGTTAATTTGCAGAGTGAATTGTAAATGGTCTAGTGAAAATGAGGCGTTAGTAAGGAGGCTGGTCGAGATGTAAACGCAGGGGAACTATACATATATGTTCATGCTTTGCCAACAGAATGCAGAATATATATACTGCATAGACAATTAATCCTCCTGCTGATCAGAGTGGGCTGCTCAAACACTGCGGTCTTGGGTTGAAATCTCACTCGACTTATGGCTGTCTGCCTGCGTTTTTTCTGCTGTCTTGTGTAGGCCTTGAGAGGGGATTGTCACTCGTTCAAATGGTCCTACCGACTGGCTATAAAATTCATAATTCCAGAAGTAATTCTGATCATTAATAGGCCAGAGGGCCTAATACATAAAGGTAGAAGAAGAAGAAATCCTTCGAAAATGAGACGAAGTTACGACGGATGAGTACAAGTACAATCAGCAAATTTTATAGATACAAATTACATATACAGTAACAAGTAGAGGAGTGCTATGTAGCGCTCAGTAGCGCTCCTCAGTTCTAGGCCTGTTGTGATATTTGGGCAGTGGGTTTTTTTTTAATTCGCTTAGTGGGGGGTGGAGTCCAACTGGGTCCACTCGGCACAGCGACCACTGATTGGCCTATTGTAGCCTGCCCCGGGTGATTATGATGATGGAGAATTTGGTGGAATGAATATTGGCAGGGGAAACTCAGAGAAAACCCGCCCCAGCGCCATTTTGTCCACCACAAATCCCACTTGACCAGACCCCGGGATCGAACCCGGGCAGCCACGGTGGGAAGCCAGCGACTAACCGCTTGAGCTATGGCGCGGCCAATGGGTAGTGGGCTTACTAACAAAATCTTAACACGCCAATCTGCCATTGCAATAAACCCTCAAAATCTGGTAGGCCGGTCGTGTGGCAAATGCCTCTGTAGTCGCCTGTTGTCGTCGGGTAGAGCCATAAGGTTCATAACTAAGTCGTTTGGGTTAGTTACCGTTTATCCTGTCGCAGATCACATTTCTGTTATTTTATTAACCGTTTCATTTGCAATTTATATTTTAAACACTTAAAGTTTTAACGTTAAATTCATCACTGATCTATGCACACTATATGTTTCGACCAACATTTATCATCTTCAGGTGATTCTAAAATTGCTGATGAAGCCTCTGTGCTTCCGTCCGTAAACGACACAATAAGAGGAACTACCAATCACCATAAGACACTTGGTGGTACAGACGAGGGCGTACTCCCAAAACTGAAATTAAGAACGAAAACACAGCAGTTTAGCAAGCAATTTTATAGTAACCTGAAGATGACCAATGTTGGTCGAAGTATGTAGTGTGCATACATCAGTGATGCAGACGAGATTTTAATGTGCAAAACTTTCAAATGTTCTAAGAAATATGTGAGGCGGCTAATAACAACGAGGAATAAATTTAAGAAAAGTTTAAAATTGAATAAGCTTGTTGCACCGAGTCCGAAATTTTACGGTTTACCGACTTCTATTCTGAAAGCTTATTGCATTGTACACACGGAAAGAGACACTATTTGGAACAATGAAGACAATGCAGTCTTGGTCATGTATTTGTATAACCAAACTGCTTTGTTTTCTTCAGCGCATGTAAAGGTAATGCTATCCCTGTAACAGGTCGTGGAGGCCCATAGGGTTCTGAGACGTCAAGGCTCCTACATTTTCTTGAAAATCGGCTCACAGATGGCGGTGAGGTTGTCAGCCTTACGCGCCGGCCGCCTCTTACATCCCAGGAAGATTTCTGGTGCTCATTTCTGTTAGAGGCTGAGTCAACCCCAGGGCCATAATGCGGCTGGAGGATTAGTGGATTCTAAAGGGTTCCGACTGTGGTGTAAAACACGCAGAATTACAGGGTTTTTGGATTTTTTCCATCATCCGGAATTATAGAAGGTAGAGAGCAAGACGTTTCGGAAATTGTATCTGTTTCCGTCCTCAGGTGAAAGGGGAAAAGACACCTAATCAGTTGGGCCCCTTAGAAAGAACTAACCTCAATTACTGGACAGTGTAAATCTAACAGGGGTTGACCAGTGATTGAGATTAGTTCTTTCTAAGGGGTCCAACTGATTAGGTGTCTTCTCCCCTTTCACCTGAGGACGAAAACAGACCCAGTTTCCGAAAAGTCGTGTTTTCTATTTTCTATAATACTGGGTGATGGAAAAAGTCCAAAAACCCAATCATTCTTGTGTAAGGATTGGGTTAATTAAAAAACCAAATTACCTCATCGGGAATCGAATCCGCGACCTTCCGTTTAGTAGCACAGTGCCTCAACCAACTACACTACCGCGTGTCCTGTTCAGCGCATGTGACAGTGCAAACATTCAGGTCAACTGTTGTTCCTATTCACCTAACACGCAACTTTCGAAGGATATATGTCCCATAACGCGTGAAGGTTTTATCAAAATCATCACTGGCAAATGAGACCCTTTTTGAACCATATCAGACTTCTCTATTCCGTCGTGAATCAGAGGATCCTTTTCTAACTGCTGTGGATTTCGCAACAGTTATTTTTCTTTCACAGAACAGGATCGCCAGCCTTGCGTCGAACCCAAAACCTGGAGAAAGAGAAAACTTGGGACATCAGGATTATTTTCTGCTATTGCCCTTCCCCACTCATCAAGACAACTTCACGCAGTAAGTGTGTATGAAACTGCACACCCCGGAAATGAATTAGGTTTGGGAAATCTGGATATTCTAGCGCATAGCCCATTTTATAAGCAGTGACTGTGTAAACAGCGGCCGTTGCTACTTAACGCCCACAATATACACGCATGCAACAATAAAAGAACAGTGTTTCCTTTGTGGTCCGCGCCGCGACTCTTGCTAGCAATGTCGCGGTAAACACGTCTTTACGACAACAAAGGGGCTTCGTTTTCTGCGTGAACCGTGTCAAGGAGTTGTTATTATTATTATTATTATTATTATTATTATTGTTATTATTATTTCTTTTTTATAATTCTTAGTGGAGTGAGATTGAGTCCACTTGTTACTGCGGCCACTACTGGCCAATTTTACCAGCCCCAGATGATAGATATTGGTGATTATGGAGTAATTGGTGGAATGAAGATTGGCAAGGGAAACCGAAGTACCACTACAAATCCCATATGACTTAACCCAGGTCGCCGCCGTGGGAAGCCGGCGACTAACCTCCTGAGCCAAGACACGGCCTTGCCGAACAGTTATCTTGAAGAAAACTGGCGTTACAACTCAGTTGACAATTCTGGTGTGGAATGTTAACCAGCGGGCAACGGCCTGACCACAGAAGCTGAAGGATCTCCGCTGTTAGAAGCCATTGCCAGGAAACGTTAGTGCAGAGTGTGATAGACTGAGGACACTAGTCTGTGTGTGTAAGTGACCTGTAAAGCTTAGTTCCGAGTGGTATATACAAGTGATCAATGAATCCAATATCCAATACATACCCCGTCTATAGTCACGCCCCTAAATAGTGACAATATAAATGAGAAGGCGTTGTATTGGGAATTAGGGGAATGGGATAGAAGTGTGAAGATTGGATAGGGATAGCTGAAAGTATTTTTTCAGTATGGAGCTCTTGAGATCTGAGCTACTATCCGCTTCTGAAAAAGAACATAGCTCATGAAATTGCCTGCACTCTCATGGTGAAGATATAATAACACGCTTTTAGTACTTTGAACGTCAAAGTTACTTTTGGAACGCCGTATTCTGTTAGTCTGAAGGTATGAATGTGCGCCTCCCTGACGTCTGAACGGTGGACGGATTTCATTCACGTTCGGCATTTCAGAGCTAATCCATCACAAGGTGGCGCCCACTGAATGTGGAACTTCTGGCTCAAAAATGGAGGTTCTTAGGATGGTTTCCAGAACCCGAATGTCGATTTTCTCGAAAATGGGTTATCAAGATTCTGATTAAATTTCAGTCATTTGTAGAGACTATATCCAAGAGCAATATAGTCACCGTCATTACGGTCATGCAATTAATCGCATTATGGTTCCGAAAACAGAAATGTCAGTTTCCTCGGAAAGAACTTGACTGATATGGAAGTCAACCGACGTTTCGGAGGAACGTGTAGCTTCCAAATTCAGGGTCGAAGAATAAGTCAAACAAGAAGTCAGCGTAAAGCAATTAGCAAACAGATAGAGCTGATAGGTGCCTCTAAATCTCGGTTGACTTTCAACAGAATACACGGCGTTAAATGCCAGAATATAGAACTCTTCGTAACCCCTGCTGTCAG